AGGTTAACTATCCAGTTGTATTTGTGACTGGGCCAACTGTCTACTAGCCTAGCAGATTTTTAAACAGAGTGTTAGTTCCCTTGAATAAAAAATAATAGGAAATTAGGATATAACTAAATAGAAATGTGAAGATTTCTATGATCTAGGATTATTGTTGGGGAGGTAGCAACAGAGGTCTATTTTGATTACCTTGGATGAGCCTGTGTTGGTTAACATGACCAGCCACCAATTTTGGAAATTCTGTTAATGGTTTCAGTGAGTTCTTAGAGGACTTCTCCTCAGAGTTCGTGCTGCCTCAGAAGCTTTGGAACATCTGGAAAATGGAGCTTATAGAGCTGTTTTGACACTGAGAGAACATCAGTGATGTTATTACTTTGAAGCCTCATGGTGCAGTGGTTAAATTGCAGTACTGTAATGCAGTCTCTGCTCATGACTTAAGTTTAATCTGAGAGGCTCAGGTAGCTGGCTCAAGGTTGACTGAGCCTTCCATCTTTCTTACAGAAATGAATTTCGAGAAACAAATAACCATTTGCAGGATTGCCATAAACCTAAATGCTTTTTAAAATTCACAACAGGAGTCTGACATGAAAATTCCTTGAGCACGAATGTTCAGTATGTAGCAATAGCAAAGCAAAAGAACTATGTAAAAAGTCTCCGTCTACTGTTTTGCTTTCCCAGAGACATGCTAGACTTCCCAAAAGGAGCTTACTTCTGAATGAGAATAAAGTAAAGCAAAGCAAACTGTGCTGCTTGAATACCATCCAATAGTGCTTAAAGCGCTTTATGGGTGGTTTACAATTTCCTTGTGCAGGTTACACATTCCCTCTTCCCTAGCAAGCTGGGTACTCAGTTTATCAACCTCAGAAGGATGGAGGGGCTTTGTTTGCTTCAAACAAAAATCCATTTATGCTTGTCCCACACTTCCTTTCATTCAGCAGGCAACTGTAACATAAATAATGCTAAAGAGTTTTGTTGCTGTCAGAAATCATGTTCATAAATCATCTCTTGTTATAGACTAACAGGCACTCTAGTACAATGGTTCTTAACCTTTTTAAAAGAAACGCCCCCTTGAGCCATTGAGGAAGTTATCATCGCCCCCTCCCCGCGGTGATGATATCTTTTATTTATTTATTTATTTAAGACACTTAAATCCAATGACCCCTGAAAACAAAATTAAATTCCAAGAAAATGAAATGCCCTCCAAAAAGTAACATTTAATGATGTAGTTGCAAGTGAATTCTAAGACGCAAAAAGAAATATAAAAAGGGCATAAAAACAAATGCAGGAACTAAAAATTTCAAGACAAAAAGTCTGAAACTAAATTAAAATTGGAGGAAAATATATATTCATGCACACTGGAAAAAGGCTGCAGCCATCTTCACAGGTTTGGCTTACTCCAGCACCCCCCTTCTGCTCCAGTGCTCCCACGCCACCCCTTTTCATTCTACCGCCCCCCTGAAAAATGAAATCGCCCCCTGGGGGGCATTATCACCCACGTTAAGAACCACTGCTCTAGTAGATGGTGCAACTGGTGTTGGTCTTCCTTTGGTTCTATCTGTTGGCTAAATGGGTGGATCAAGATACAGGAGTATTTTCTGCTTGATAATGTCCGTGTGTTAGGAACATGTTGAGAAAACAAAACAGAGCTTGGAAAATTTACAACTTTGGATTTCAACTCGGGACATCTTCCAGTCAACAGATTCTGGGAATTCTACTCTCCAAAAGTTGATTTCCCAAGCATGTGTTCATGCAAACGGGTAGAAATAAAACGCCAGATTTCAGCAACCACAGATCTTTTAAGGACGCACTGTTTTTGCACGGAGATGTAGGAAGTACATTCAGATGTGAGTCAGAACTGAATTTTCGTCAGATCTCCATGACATTGCTCAAGGCAACCCGTGCCCCGTGCTTCAGATTTATTACTGAGGTGTCGTAACCTGTTTAAGAATTGTCAAAAGTTCCATGATTGTAAAGTTTAACACCAATTGTGATGCATTTCCATTCCCTCCCCCCTCCCCCGCTGGATTAAGCGGAGGTTGATTGGATTACAGGTGTTAGCCAGATTTCAGTTCAAGGCACATGATCCTGCTGGAGTTGATATCATCTCCAAACAGGTTTCTTTACAATGAAGTTATCTCTACCCCTGTCCAGAATTTCCCTGAATCACCTGACCAAGGTGAGCAGGGTCACCTGAGCTCCTTGCCTGTGTAGAGGATTATGTCTTCCATACACATAAGCCTACGCAGCACATACAGAAACCCTAACGCTAAATGTACACAGCCTGAATGAAGTCACCGTGCAGCTTTACCACTGTATAAGGACTTGCTGGCTACTTAACAATGTTTAAGAATAGCTCTTGTTATGACAGGCAAAAGATATAAGTTTTCAACAGGTTGGCCAAAAAAAAAAAAACCTAACCTTTTTTTGGCCACGTAAATTGGGACCCTTCTCCAACACCCTCTCCATAATCAGTTCAGAGCAAACCAACAAACTTTAGTCTTTCTGTCAACAGCTATCTAATTTTATGACCAGTAGCCATTGTCTCTGCAGTGCAAACCTGCTTTAAGGGTACCTAATTGTATTCATTTCTGGGCCACTCTAGCACAATAGGGAGCTACCATCAAGGTGACTTTGCCTTGTCTTCCCTTATTACTTACAGCTTTGCAACCCTTAGAGGACACCAGGCACTTCCCCCCCCTCTTTTTTTCAAAGAAAAGAGTGGCTTAAGAGGTGTTTACTTTGGTGGGAGTCAACTGGACATGCTGCCTCATGTATGTGCTTGCAACAAGAGGAATTAATCACAGATAGGGGGTGTCAAACTTTTCTTAATACCCTCCAAAGATTACCAGCTGCAGTCCTAATTATTTCCAGGGCGTGCCATGTTAATCGGTAGCCTCAGGAACCAGAGTTTTGAGGCACCTTTAAAGGCTATCAACTTTATTTAGCATATACAGTCCACTTCTTCAGGTGATGTTTTGCTTTCACCAACTTCTATTGATAACTTTTAAGAGGTGAATTTTGCTAGGGCAGCATTTACTTTATTTATTTATTTAGTTAATTAGTTAGTTATTCAAAAAAAGAGCTGTACAGACGGCCAGATGAGCTGTGGATGTATTTGAAGGTAATAATTGTTGATAAAGCAGTTTAAAATAGTATTAAATTATTTCAGAATTCAGTTAAGTGGTTAACTATGCCTGTCTATTGTACCCAGAAGTAATTCCAATGGGACTTACTCTCAAGTAAATTCTGCATAGGACTTAATTCAGTGAGGTTTACTTCTGAGTAGGCATGCAAAAAATAGCCTTGTTACAGATCTAAATTGTGTGTGTCCTGCAGGATCTGGAGGAACATTTCCTTGGTCTACCTTTATGTTGCAAGAAAAATTACACTGGTGCATTTATATTCCTCATTGACTGAACACTATATTGATCTATTTAAACTGATCTGAGTTGCTATTGTAAAAAAACACTTCAACGGCTTGCTGTTTTTGAGCAAATAGTAACAAGTATTTCCAAACAACATCCATTATTTTCTTTCTATGAAGAATATATTCATTCATATATGTGTTCTTCCTGCATCCAGCTGCTGGAACGTCATTACACTTGTCTAAACGGGTTGCATGAAATTGTTTGCCACAAGTACAAAGTGTGATTCACTTATATACATATAATCTACACTTGCATTTCATTGCAATTCTTTCAGTGAAAAAAACGCATTCAGCTTTGTAAAAAGGGTTTAATCCAGACACCCTGTTTGCATGGTACAACCTGAAAAATGACCCTCCAAATCCCCCTCCCACAGTCACTTGTAGTAATCAACTTCACAGATAACAACAATTTGTAAAACAGAACAAAAGAAATGGTTGGACAATAGGTTTATTATGAATAAGGAAAATGCCACAAGAGTGTACTAGTTTTTTTGAGCTCCCTATAGCTCATTATCAGACTCTAGTCTAGGAGGTGATCTATTACAAAGGGGTGGGTGGGGAAGGATCAGAAAAGCCCAAAAATTAGCCAGATGTAGGACTGTTATTAAGTTACTAAAATATCAGTCATTCACGGGGTCACCATAAGTTGGAGGTACAGGATGGCAGATAACAACAAAAAAATTAAAAGTAGTCCTTTACTGCTTAAAAAAAAATAGTCCTTTACTACATTAACAAGCCAGGCGAAATCTAAGCGAAGTTAAACCGTGCCAAATTAATTTCAGTGGGAGAGTGAAGAACATAGGTAAGCCTGTGACCCTGTGCATGCTGAGAGCCCCGCAGAACTCAGCCGACCTTAAAACTGCACTTAATTTTGGCCTAACGGGACTGTCCGCGACAGAATACATTTCACAAGGATCCTGAAGAGGGCGCTGGTGCCCTAGTGGAAAGCTCACGGGGCGTCTAACAGGGATTCCCCTACACTGTATTGAATCGTCCCGACAAAGAGCGTATGTACATATTATAGGTGATCAAAAGGGATCCGTGCTCTTTATCCGAATCACGAATCCGGCGTGAGGAGGAAAAGGGACATGAAACTGGAAACTAGAAATTGTTTGCTATATTGCGCAAAAAGTAGGTTTCCCGGGCTGTGCGGTAGGAATTTGATTTATTGGAATGCAACCCCTCAGCCTGTTCTGCTCAGTTTAATTCCTGCGGATCTGACCCAGAAATCCCACGAGAAACGGTGCTCAGAAGGGGCTCTTTTCCTCCTACTCCACCACCCCGAGCCTCTGTCCTTCTTTAGGCTGGGAGTCTTAGGAGACCCAAAGAATCGCAGGTTCGGGAAGAGGCGGCGGCGGCGGGGGGGGGGAGAGCAGGCAGGTGCAGAGTTCCTGTGGGCACGTCGGGGGCTGGCTCGCCCGCTGGCCCCGGGGCTTGGAAGCCACATCCGTGCCTCCTATTAGATAAATGCCCTCAAGTCGGAACCAACTTTTGGAGACCCTCCTAGGGCTTTCAGGGTAAGCGAGATATTTAAGGAGTGGTGTGACCGGCTCCTCTCTCCCAGTGAGTTTCCATGGCCAAGTGTGGGATTCGAACTGTGGTCTCCAGGGCTCTTGACCATCGCTCCGTCCACCATACCACCCTGGGGACCCAAGTCTCGGCCCGAGATCTGGAAGCCGACCTCGATCGGTGCCACATGCTGGATATTTTGTACACCCCTAGCTGGAAGGGATCGTAGATGAACACATACATAGCACACCCAATATTGTACAGAGGTCAGTTCAAGACTGCAAAGATGGGTACTCATATCTTTCTGCATCCCCTTGCATGGGAATGCTGTTTTGCGGATTCCTTTTTAGAGGGATGCGGCCCCCGGGGGTAGCCCTCCCGCTCTCATTCCCGGAGGGACGGCTCAAAACTCCAAAATTCTTCTCCTCGGTTTGTAAACGGGGAAGGGCTGGGAAGAGGGGGGGGGGCCGCCCGGCCGGCCGGTCGCGGGGGAAAGAGGGACGGGAAAAGTCGGCAACAACTTCCCCGTAGCCCCGGTGGCCTCCAGGCTTGGCTGCGGATGGCCGCCTGAGGATCGGTGATGATGACGACGACGATGATGATCAGGTACTAACGGGGATTCTGGCTCAGCGCCCTAAAAGTTCACACACAGGAGGGAAGCCCTTTTCGGATGCAAGACTGTCCGGGCCGACGTCACGCCCACTGCCCCCCTTTCTTTTTCACACACACACCCAGTTCACAGGGGTTTCCCGATCTCTTCAGCAGCCAGAGATTCCCCCTCATCGGGAGCCGTCCCGGGCCGAAGGCTCAACGGCGGCCGGCTTAGCCACTTGGGCTACAGCCGCCCCCCGCCCCCGGCCCTTTTCTCGGACAGGTCCCGCTCCGCACCTCGCGAGGTGCAGTCCG